AAGATCAGAGAGAATCGCTCTCCAGAGAAATCCATCAATCTGTTCCACTGTCTGAATGAACTGGGTGATGATTCACTGATGCAGGAGATCCAAGATTATCTGAAATCTGGACGAATAAGAAAAACCAAACTCTCCCCTTCACAGTGGTCAGCTCTGGTTTATGTGTTGCTGACATCAGAGCAGAAGATGGATGTGTTTGATCTGAAACAGTTTATTGGAGCACAACATACAGCAGATGAAGTTCTTCAGAATCTGTTACCTGTGGTTAAAGAATCCAGATCAGTTCGGTGAGTAACACTGAAAACAATCACTGCACTTTCAAAACATGAACACATTTATAATTTTAGCATGTGCTTATTTACCAAAGCAACAAAATGGGTAAAATCTCAGAGAAGCACATTTCTGGCAGTGAGCAGGAGAGGTGTGTGAGACACACTTACTAAAGCAGCTGAGGAGGTTTGTGTGTTTCTGTGTGAGAGCTGATGATGTAGAGCTCAGTGTGGAAGATGAAGATGAAGATGAAGGAATGAATGTGAAGGGGGTCAAAACTGACAGCAAACAGATTTCTAATGATGTTTATATGTTTGTTTTATTGTCTGTATGAATGACATTTGCATTTGTAAAATTTTTATTGTCTATATGAATGACTTTTGCATTTACAAAATTTTCACATTTCATTAATCACAGTTCATCATTCATGTTCTTTAATCTTTATAGATTTGCTTATTCTGGTGTCACAAAGGCTGTGCAGTTTTACATTGATTTAATTGTTAATTATCTTATTATGTAAGAAGATATGAGATAAAACACTCAGCTAGTTGTAAAAAAGTGTAGAAAATATATAGCCAGGGACAACATTTGGAAAAAATAAATAAAAATAATAATAATAATATACAAAATGTATAATATATTATGACCAGTACACAGAATTCAGCAGCTCTGCCCACAAGCCCTGTGCTGGATCTGTCAGAAGGCGTTTAAGTGAAATGTGTCAGTCACGTCATCAGTCCAGCCTTAGAGCCTGATGTAAGCACTTGCTACAGCCTCTTTTCACCCCACAAACACCCCTAATTTTGGGGGGGAGCTTTTTTATTTTCGTGTATTTTTTAATTCAGCGCTAAGTCATACTAGAGTGGCCTACTAAGCAACCCATTCACAGGGGAGCAAAATTCTACTTAGACCCTAAGAGTCTAAGGGGAGAATACATTTACATTTAGTCAATTATCAGACGCTTTTATCAAAATCGACTTACAAATGAGGACAATAGAAGCAATCAAACCAACAAAAGAGCAACAATATTACAATAAGCAGCCCACGTAGCAAGTATAATTTTTTTAAATAATAAATACAAATAATGAAAAGTAGATAGAATAGAAATAGAATAGAGAGAGCTAGTGTTAGAGGGTCAAGTTTTTTAAGTATTATAAATAAAAGAAAACAAGTAGACAGAATAGAAATAAAATAGAGAGCTAATGTTAGAGGCATGCATAAGTACCTTAGTGTATTCTCTGAAGCAAGTGACAGAAAGAGCCCTTGAATCACTTTTCTCTTCACACCCTCTTCAGAGAGGAGAGAACACATCCTCCAGCAACACTGCTGAGCAGCGTCTGGACAGATTTCATGTTGTGCAGAGACTCCCAGGCCTGTCCTGCTTTGCATATGTCTTGCCAAAAGTCGCAAGGTGTTCAGCAGAGGAGGAAAATTAATTGGTAATATCTGCCTCTACTCTGCCCACCTAGAAGCCCAGGACGGAAGCTGCCATTTGTTTTTTTTCGTAACAATACACTCTGGGTTGCCATGACGACTAAAGACAGTACTCAGAAATTTGGTAACATGCTCAGCAGTTGCACTGTTGGCAAATGCAAGTTCTGGCCACTTGGAATGATAGTCTGTGAGTGTAATGGCATATCTGCAAGCAGGGGTGGCTGTTTCAAATGGTCCGACAACATCCAGACCAAGTTTTTTCTATGGGACCTCAGGAAACTGAACTGGCTGCAGGGGTGCTGGATGTGTCACCTGAGTTTTGTCATTAGACTGGCAGGGAATGCATGTAGAGACTGTTGACTGGACCTGAGAGTCCATCTGCGGCCACCAGTAAAGTTCCCGTAAACTCTGTTTTGTACGCACTACTCCCTGGTGAGCCTCATGTGCCAAGGAAATCACAGTGTGTCGAAAGGCTACAGGGACTAACAGCCTCATTCCTCTGAAAATGAAAGCATCTTTTACTGAGAGTTCGTCTCTCACTCTGAAATATGAAACGAAGTCCTGACTCACTGCTTTGATGGAAGGTTGCCAGCCTTGGGTGATTTGCTTTCACAGTTTCTCCAGTTCAGGACAAGCAGCGCAGGCAGTTTCAAAGTCAGTCACTGAAAGAGAGCACAATGTTGAGGAAATAAATGCAACAATTTCAGGCTCCACGTCAGCAGAGGAATCAGCAGGTGCAGGTATAGGAAGACGAGACAAGCAGTCTGCTGTGTGATTCAGGGAACCAGTCAGATAGACGACGTTGTAATCAAAACAAAGCAAACGTGCTGCCCAACGAGCAATCCGCATTCTGGCTCTTCCCATTCTTTTTGTGGTTAGTAAGGTAGTGAGTGCCTGGTGGTCTGTGCGGAATGTAAAGTGATGGCCCCACAAGTATGTTCGCCATTTCTCAGTAGCCCACACACATGCCAGGGCCTCCTTCTCTACTATAGAATTTTTTTTTTCAGCAGCAGTGAGTGTGCAGGAAGTGAAAGCCACTGGGTTTTCTGTTCCATCCGATTGTATCTGAGTGAACACTGCACCCAAACCGTAGTCACTTGCATCTGTTGAAATTACTGAGTGAAGTGTGTGGTCATAAATGGCAAGGACAGGACTGGACACTAGCATCAGTTTAATGTACTCAAAGCTGTTTTGAGAAGCAGGAGTCCAAACAAACAGTCCTTTTTCCTTAGCGCACTCGGAAGTGAAAGCCACTGGTTTTTCTGTTCCATCCGATTGTATCTGAGTGAACACTGCACCCAAACCGTAGTCACTTGCATCTGTTGAAATTACTGAGTGAAGTGTGTGGTCATAAATGGCAAGGACAGGACTGGACACTAGCATCAGTTTAATGTACTCAAAGCTGTTTTGAGAAGCAGGAGTCCAAACAAACAGTCCTTTTTCCTTAGCGCACTCACGCATTGGGGCAACAACTGTCGCAGATCCAGGAAGAAATTGTGAGTACCACGACACCAATCCTAGGAAGGATTGCAGTGATGCTGCATCTGATGGAGGCAGAGCTTTACGGACAGCATCCAGATGCTCCTGGTCAGGTTAGATGCGTTGATTATGTGTCCCAGGAACTGCAGGGAAGTCTGTCCGAAACTGCAGTGAAGTCTGTTTTTTCTCATTTAACACCAGTCCTGCCTCTTTCAGTTTATGCAACACAGTGCGCAGGGTCACGTCATGCTCCTCCACCATTGCTTCGTACACAATAAGATCATCCAGGTAGTTTTTGACACCAGTTACCCCCTCCAGGATGGTGGCCATCATCTTTTGGAAAGCTGAGGGTGCCGACTCCAGGCCATAAAGAACCCTACAAAATCTAAACAGGCCATCATGGATGATGAAAGCTGTAATATCTCTACTATCTTCATGCAGGGGAAGCTGATAGCATGCATTAGCTAGATCGATTGTAGAAAAGACTGTAGCACCCCTAACGCTGGTAAGCATTTCATCAAAAACAGTCAGTAATGAAGGCTTTGTTAACTTCCCTTAGATCAGCACACATCCGTATCCCACCATTTTTCTTCCCTGTAACAACGATGGGAGACAAGCCGAAGCATCCACACGTTCGATCACACCAACTTTCTGCAGATGGTCTAATTCAGCTGAAACAGAAGCTCGGACTGCAAAGGGTAAGCGTCGCAATTTCTGATGCACAGGTTTCACTGAGGGGTCAATTTTTACTTTGTGGACAAAGTTCTTTGCACATCCTATTTCGGTATCGTCCACGGGTGTGTTATTGGTGGCCATGATGGAAGTGCAGACATTATCACCATTGATTTGAAGTTTCAGGGCAGAAATCAAATCCATGCCCAGCAGAGCAGTCCCTTTATCCACAACAAAAAATGTGGCAGCAGCTGATGCATTGTAGACACCTGCTTGTGCTTGCAGACATCCAAGTACAGGTATGCATTCCTGAGTATAAGTCACAAGTCGGATGGCAGGTGTAGATAATTGTGTGGCACTGAAGTAGTGTTTATAAATATGGAGGGGCAATATGGACACAGAAGAACCTGTGTCCACAACGAAATGTATTGTGGTGCCAAGTGAAGCAGGAGTATTAACAGTCACTTTGCAATGTAGTTTCTTTGGTGCATCCTCTGAGTTCTCTAAATACAGCACTGTGACGTCATGCATTTGCACCTCACGCATATCACTCCTGGGGGCTGAACGACACACTCGTGCAAAATGTCCCTTCTTGTTGTATAATTTGCAATGACGTTTTGCAGCAGGACATTGTGCCGAGTTAGCTAGGTGCTTGTCGGAACCACATCTGAAACCTGACTTACGGGCAGAAGAAGCGGAGGCAGCAGCTGGACGTGAACAGTGTTTCCTTCTCACATGGTGTGACTAAACTTGTACAGCTCTCACTGGAGCATCCCTGTCAGCCGTCATTCTCTTTGTGTGCTCAGCCGCAGCTTCTAATTGTATTGCAAGGGCGGTTGCTTTCTGTAATGTCAGGTCCGGTTCAAGTAACAGTTTCTGTCTAATATCATCACTTTGTAAATGCTCCAGCAATTGGTCGCGAATCATATCGTTGACTTTATCACCAAAGTCACAGCTAGCGGCGAGTGCATGCAAAGCAGCAACGTACTGTTGTATGTTTTCGTGTGGGGCTTGCACTCTTTTTCTGAACGTATGCTGATCCACAAACACGCTAACTTTTGGCATGAACTGCTTTTGTAAAGTAGCGACAGAAGTATCGTATGTCTCACTGGTGTCTGGCAGAGCGTAAAAGATGCGTTGACCCTCGGCGCCTAAACAATGAAGTAGTGTAGTTCTCTTCTGAGCGTCAGGCAATGCATTGCCCACTGCGTTGATTACCAGCAAATAATTGTCAAATATGCGTAATCA